GGGACATACAATTCTCGCTCAAGGAGTTCAGTCACAAATTTAATTAACACATTATTTTTTTAACAAGTGTCATCAACATGGAAGCATGTCCTCTGGAATGATGGCCGAAGCATGAAGGGGCATATGAATGTTTAGCGTATCTGGCACATAAATACCTTGCAATGCTGGCTACAAAAGTGCCATGTGAGCGCCTGTTCTCACTTTCAGGTGACATTGTAAATAAGAAACAGTCAGCAGTATCTCCCGTAAATATAAACAAACTTGTCTTACCAATTGGCTGAACAAGAAGTAGGACTGAGTGGACTAGTACGCTCTAAAGTTTTACATTGTTTTGTATTGAGTGCAGTTATGTAACAAAAAAAATCTACATTTGTAAGTTACACTTTCACGATAAAGAGACTGCACTATAGTACTTGTAAGAGGTGAATTGAAAAATAATTTTTCTTTTATCATTTTCAGTGCAAATATAAAGTGTGCACTGTACACTTTGTATTCTGTGTTGTAATAGAAATCAATATATTTGAAAATGTAGAAAAACATCCAAAAATATGTAATAAATTTCAGTTGTTATTCTATTGTTTAACAGTGTGATTAATCGTGATATTTTTAATCGAAGTAAATTTTTTTGAGTTAATCGCGTGAGTTAACTGTGATTAATCAACAGCCCTACTTAGAAGTCTATTTGTTGTTTATTCACTGAACTGATAAATAAAATGGCAAAATATTATTTTCTAATCTATGTGTTGTTAATTTTTGTCAGAATCCAATTGCTCTGACACCAAAAAATCAAAATTGATCTGATTTGAAGTCCAAATCATGAATTTTTAATTTCTTTTTAAAAAGAAACATTAGCTGTGATTATTTTTAGTTGAGATGGCTTCAGTGAAAGCATTGCCACAGTGTGTCTTGCATCCTTTTACCTTTCTCTCAGAGTAACTATTGTAATAATATCAATCATCTCCAGAGTAAATGTTGTACTAGATAATGTTTCAGTTGATTTGAAATTTCTGAACAAAGTCAGAGCTAAGTATAGGGAATTTTTTTAAGTGAATACATTTCAATTAATTCAGTGGGGTTAAATCTGGCTTCCATCTGTTTTTTGGGTTATGAGTTCATCAGAACCAGTCCAAGGGCTTACATATTTCCATTTCATGGTGCTTTACTTATTATTCTGATTACTCTGTTCCCTGTTGCTGTAAAATATATCTAGCTCTTACTGTGAAAAGTGACTCTGTAAAAACAGCACCGTGGGGTTCGTTATTTATTGTGTCTCAATGACTTCCTGATCAAATGTAAGCACAATGGCTCATCTTAACTTCCAGACCTGAAACGCAGCCTGGATTCTGAAACTCAAATTGTTCTGTCTGGGTCATGCCTTGTCTCTAGTAATAAAAGATTATACAGGCCAAATTCTGTACACCAGTACACCCTCCTCCCCCCACCATTGTCTTCACTGAAGTTACCCAGGGGTATCTGAGGACAGAATTGGATCCTGTAAAATTATGTCGATGCTGAGCTAGATTAGAATTCAGCTCATTCTGTCACAACTTTACTGGCTCTGCAGTTCTAATGGGAGTAAAAAAGTTAAGGCCATGTCTACACTAGCGAGTTTACAGCAGCACAGTTGTACTGATGCATCTGCGCCACTGTAAGATCGCTTGTGTAGCTGCTCTAAGCCGATGGGAGAGAGGTCTCCTGTCGCCATAATAAAATCAGAGCAGTGGTAGCTTCTCCTGCCGATTTGGCACTGTACACACCAACGCTTCTGTCGGTATAACTTATGTCACTCGGGGGGGTGTTTTTTTCACACCCCGGAGCAACATAAGTTATCCCAACAAAAGTGGTAGAGTAGACATGGCCTAAGAAACACTTTTATTTTTTTGGGTCAGTACACCAAACAGATATGAATACCCACAGGGAATAGAACTGTTGCATAAGAAAGGTATCAATTTTGCAAAGTCACTTTTCAAAACAATGCCATACCTTAAAATAAAAGAGAATAATGTAAGACTTCTATTTAAAAAGTCTGACAATTTTATTTTAGTGTTCTATCTTAAGCCTCGCACAGTGAAATACGCTAGTGAATCCAGTAGATTTATTTGGAGATCACATGCACGTAATACTGTATACAGGTGGTTAAGGAAGCAAAAATTTATTAACTCGTCAAATGTTATACAGAATTTTTTTACACATATGCAAACAATATAAAATCAATGTTCTATACAAATTATTAATTACTGAATTTGCAAAGAACAAAGGATTCTAAAAAGCTGCAGTCAACATTGTCACTTTAATCATTTGATCAAAGTTTATATTTAATCTCTGGCCCTTAAAATTTAGATTCAGAGCAGATGAACAATTTTACTGAACATACATATCAATTGCACAATGTATTCCTCTTGAAGTTTAACCCGTGATGCCATCCACAAAGGAGATTCTTTATTCCAAATTTTATTTCATAATACATTATATTAGGTACGTTTCAAGGCTTAATTATATGAACAGCAATTTATTGTCTCCTCCATGCCTGCTGGGGCAGATCCTCAGCTGGTGTAAACTGCCATAGCTTCAATAGGGCTCTCGTTACTCTCTTTACTCCCATTAACGTAAAGAGGAGCTATTTTTAAGCAGCAGGGAGAGAACCGAACCAGTAAAATGTAGACAAACATCATCCATTTCTAAATGTGAAAATTAATTTTAAAACAATGTATCTTTTGTTTCTTTGAGCCAGATTCCCTTTCAAGTCATGAAAACAATCTCTCTCTCTCTAAACCAACATGATCAATCTATTTCATTATGCGCAGCCTTGGGCTATGATCCTACAGCTGCCTCCTTTAGAACGGACCCCTGGGCCTAGATGGATGAAACTGCAGCATCTGGGCCTTTGTATACAGACAATACAAATTTCAAATGGCCAGAGCTTGATTGATAAGCTTACCATGGACCTCTTATGTGGGAAGAAATTATTGGTATAGTGTGAATGTTCAGGGCTTTATGCCCTCTCCTGGGCTGAAGTTCAGATCTGTTAAGGTGTCTGTGATTAAGATAACTGAAGTGGAAGAAGCCTCTGGTTTTGGAGCCACAAAGCCATCAGTTCTATCCCTGATACGGCAGGATTCAGCTGAAGTCTGTGATACAGCCACAGATTGTTTACACAATGAAAATTCCCACTCACCACTCCTCCCTTACATAAATGTTAGTCAGGCCATGAATCTCATAAGAGGATTTTCATATTCACTAGGCTCTTTACAATGTCATGAGACTCAAAACATGCCCCTCTGACACAAGGATATTTTTTAACCTCAGAATTAATAATCAAGCCCTAGACAACCTGCACCCATCTAGACAAAGTTGTTGAAAATAGTCAACCACTGTGGGGTCTGGTCTCACCTGGGAGAGGGCACCATGACTGCAATCGCTTGTCTCTGTGGTGTTTTGTTTGGTTTCTTAATCTGATTTTTAGGATAAATGGCCAAAGATTACATTCCTCTTCTTGTGTGTGTCTTTAGAGGCATCAAGTATCCCAGCTGAAGCAACCTGATATCCAAAGAGATAGTAACTAATATTCCATAACTGAAGATTTTGGGGTGGCGTCTCTTTGTGCAGTACAGTAAGAGAAAAATAGACTCTGGGCCCAATTTGCTGGGCACCCTCCACTCCTACTGATTTCAGTGGGAACACAATAGGAACACAATTTTATTCTGGTGTGAAGGTTGGGGGAGTGGCTGAGAGTTAGCCAACTATCCTCTCTTAGTTTTTGAAATGCTGTATTAGGTGGAGAGAACACTACACCATAATGCTTGTATAAAACTGAAAAGAAAGCTCAGGTGCATTTTAATGAAGTAACTTAACCAGTTTAAAGAAATGCTTATCTTTATACGCATGTATAATTCAATATTTATAGAATATTTATTTATAGAAAGTTTCACTAGGAAAATCAATCTATAGAAAATAAGACAATAAGCATCACTATAAATCAGAATACCCTATCCCTTCACTATAAGGCTCTCAGTTTTAAGGCTACCTCTGATATAAGGCTACTTCAACTTGGTTTCTAAAAAGAGTAAAAGAAACCTCTTGTCAATACATTAATAACCATGCTACACTAAAATAAAGAAAAGAGCAAATATCTCTCCGTAGCTAGCTTATATTTAGGGCAAGTTTTTATGGACTAGACTCTTACTTAATATCCACTTAGCTATTCAAAATTATTCTACTGTAATGCAAATTTAAAATACATGAGGCATTTTTGTTCACATTCTGCAATAAAAAATTGATCTACAGCAATCTAAATGTTTGTATTTAAGATGATCTCCACTTTTCATAAACATACATTCCTTTACATAAGTATCTTACGTAGGTGATTATATTCTTTGTATTCTATAAGAATCTACATTTGGAAACCCTTTATAAAATAGCACATTTTCTGTACTCTTATGTCAAACATATTCTAGACACTAGTTTGTCTTTGGAATGTCTAGTATTCAATTGCCTGTACAATACAAATCAGTACTTGAAAGTCATTGTGTGCATTAATTTATAACTGACTTCGCTTTTTTGCACATGAAGCTAAAAAACTGACCTTATATATACTGTAGTGATAAAAATACAAGTTAATTTTTTTCTGGAATTAAGTACTACAACTTACTGTAAGTATATTTCATATTTGTATATGTTTAAAACTATGAGATGTACCCACTTTGCTCAAATTGTATATGGTATTTTGCATCCCAAATAGAGGGCATTAATCGGTTTAAATATAATCTGTGGATTGAAGGCACAGTAGACTTGAAAAAGTTACATGGAAACCAATTTCACCCAAGAGTTTCTAAATGTGTAGCGCTAGCTTTTTCAACACTAGTAGAAGAAGAAAATAATAGAAATTCAGTATTACACAGCTGGAAAATTTTCATTTTGTCAAAGCCAATTTTTTTGTAGAAAATTTTTTTTTTTTAAAAAAAAAAATGTTAATTTTTTATCAAAACATAAACTAGCTTTGGCTGAAATGTTTCAGTCTTCAATGGCTGGAAAATGAAACTCAAATTTCAGTTTCTTTTATAAAAAACTAACTTTCATTCTTGTGGGGAATTTTTTTCTCTAATCAGCTCTATTATATATGCTAAGGCCCAGAATCTCAGCTGGTGTCAACTGGTATAGATCCTCTGAAGTTACTGGAAGCTGGCCAGCTTAAACCAGCTGAGAATCTCTCCCCAAAAGTGATTTCTCCCCCTTCCCTAGGAATATTCACCTCTCTGCAAGATACAGCGATTTCAAAGGTGTGGATGTGGCACTACACAATAATATATCCTCAAGAAACTATTGCAGAAAAAAGGAAAAGGAACTAAGCAAACTAGTTTTGGGAAATGCAAACTCATGGCTATTGCAATCGAGCAACTTTTCTTTCAGGTTACTTTACAACTTCTGGTAGTGAAACAATTTCCTTTCTCTCCTTGACTGGCTTTATCAGTACATATCCCTTTCCCCTAAAAACAACAGCATGCCACTTAACATGATCCATAACTTTTCTTAGGTCTTGAGCAGCAAAAATGGCAGCATATTTCTTTTTCAGCATATGGCCTTCAAGTACTAGTTATATACCCCACCTAATATTTTTAGTTTGAGTGATTAGTACCAAAGACTTCTGTTGCTAGGTCCCAGTCACTCGATTTCTAAAGCAGACAAATGTACACAAAACATCCAAAGGTGTTCTACAATACAAACACAGTAAACATTTTACAATGACTTTCAGGCAAGCATACCAAATTCAAATAGACTGGTGATTCTGGTTAATAAAAATGTTTCCTGTTAATGGTGGGTGGTAAACAGTACTGGTTTAGCTGTGCCTAAATTTGTTTGAATGTTTAACAGCACATGGCAGCTTTTCAAAGTCATATTTAATAGTGCTACTAAGCAGTACTACACAAGAAATGTAGTGTATGAAACATGAGAACTTAACTTCATTCATCTTAATTCCATATTTGCAGGGGAGAATATATTACTTTGTGCCAAGCACAGGTTCCATCCAGCTAAAATGCTACTTTTCAGTATCACCTGGGCTGTTTTACAGTTGTTAAAATTTAAATTTACTATATCAATTCATAACAGATCCTTCAATAAGAATCATCATAGAATTTGGAGATGGAAAAAGACCCACCTGGACATCTGTCCCAGCCCCGACATTGCAGGATTGTTCTCCTGTTTTCTAGTGCTTTGTCTAGAAAGTTTTTGAACCTCTCAAGTGACAGACTCATATCATGTTCCTTGGAATACTATTTCACTCTGAGGTGATTATGGTTAATAAAATGGGGTGGCAGGAAATCAAGGCTTATAGGTAAATGTCTTCATGTTGATGGAGTTTAGCTGAGCACATGAGTCAAATTTGGATATCTGCCTCCCATCGAGCTAGCAGTTGATATATTGATCGTATTATCGACAACTGAATTTTACTCTGATCTTTATAAAGTATGACATTAGTTGCTACTATAGATCTTACGCCCAGAGAAATGGCAGTTGTGGTTAAGCATATGCCACAACATAGAGAGGGACATACACTCCTCTTGGTTCCTCCAATAAAAATCTGGACTAACTCCATTGACCTCACTGTTGCTTTCACTGAGATCAGAATTGGGCTGTGAGACTCTCTCTGCCTTGTGTATTTATATTTTTTTTCCTCTTCCTTCAGTTGTAAGATCAGATTATTCCATCTGCTGCATGACTTGGAGGAATTAAAAGTAGCAGCAATTCTGCTCCAATGCCCTCAACTCTTCTGGAGCAGGCTTCATGTCAACAAGGTCTCTACTCCTCCAAGGGACCTTTAGATTTTAAATATTTGAATGACATCTGTTATATTTTCCTTGGAAGGCTCTGGGATATCAGTATGAGGAGTAGTGAGTACCTGCAACTCCCACTGAGTTGCAGGTCTTCATCTCTCTTGGTACCAAGCCCATGATTTGTGTGTGTAGTTGTCTGGATAGGTAGAGAGAAGTCCAGCCCCCATGAGGTCTTGAGAACTTTCCAGTCCCATTGTTGTTCTAGAAGCTACCATTTTCTTCCTCTCAGATCTCAACATCCCCATCCACACTCCCTACCATGGGGCCCAAAGCAGGTAGTCATCCTTTAGATGAGAATGGTGACTGACATCCTTCAAGGCTGATGACAATGCTGTTCCTTAGATCATCCAGCAAGATGGGTGTACACAGGGAGCAACCATCACCTCTTCCACCAAAGCTTAGCAAGTACTATTACAAAAAGCAGGAGCACTCATTAATTTAAGAATTCAGCAGAGAGGCTTCTGCTGTACCTAGCAGATCGGAACTTGACCTCATGATAACATTGCACAAAGCTATGATAGATGAAAGTAATAGGCAATGCTAATAAAACAATCCCACTAACCACACAAATTCCACCAAGAATCCTTCCAGGTACAGTGATGGGGCACATGTCACCATAACCAACCGTGGTCATCGAGATTATTACCCACCAACAGGCAGCAGGGATGCTGGAAAAATCCTTATTCTTTGTTCCCAAGTCCAGCCCATTTTCAAGGAGTTGTGAAAGTGCACTAAAAATTGCCATAGCAACACAAATAAAGACAAGAAGCATCACCATCTCTCTGTAACAACGCTTCAGAGTCAGACCAAGTGTTTGAAGACCAATGAAGTGACGGGCAAGTTTAATCACCCAAAAAATTCTCATCATTCTAAGAACCCTCAGAGTGACTCCAGCCCTTTGGAGCTGAGAATTTTCCCCTGTGAAAACTGTCATGAGCACAGAGATGTAGTACGGAGTGATTGCCAGCAAATCAATGATGTTCAGGGGCCTCTTGACAAACTCACACTTGTTTTTGGAGATGATGAACCTCACAATGCACTCTGCAGTGAACCAGCCTATGCAGATAGCTTCAATGATCCTGTCAAAAGAAACAAAGTGGAGCATTTTAATTCTATATGAGCATTTTAATTAAGGTTTGTCTGTGGACATTACTAAATTGATATTAATTCAGAGCCTTAGTGGAGGGTGTGCCAAATGGTGAGCCACACTATCTTATTCTGAGCTTGTTTGTGTAAATATAATACCAGGCTACAGTGAGTACAACTCAGAACTGATTACTGATAAGGATTTGATTATATCTGCAATTCATTTAGTGAATGCTTTGTTGGAATTACAAATTGTTAACATTACCAATATGTGAGGATACTTCTGCAAAGTCAGGAACACTACAGGATAATGTCTAAAATAATGTAGACAGCTATTCATATCTAAAACTAAAACTCTAGGTCCCTATCCAGCTTAACATCACCATACTTCGCAAGCTATCAAACCTACCAAAAGCTATGGAGTGGCAACTCATTAGCAGAACAACCTATTAAGGAGAAAGACATGTCTGCTGGCCTGGGCCACAAAAATTAAACCCCACAGTGAGCATTGAGAATTTGAAATTTCTACTTTTAGGGAAAGTAGCTCATGCAAGTTTGCTCTCAACCTCCTGTTTTACAAGTGGGGTCACCGCAATCTGCACTAGCTGAAATTTCTAAAGGGTTTAAAAACGTACAGTGCATTGCAATAACCTAATTTCACAGTAACCAAGTCAATGGTGAGGACCACATCTGAAAGAGAAGGGCACAACCTTCTTATCAAGTACAAACGGCCCAGATGCAGGGAAGTATCCCTGTCCAGGAAGGGTGCTTACGCATGGGCTTAACTTTAAGCATATGTTTAAGTCCCAATGAAGTCAGCGAGACTTAAGAAAATGCTAAATGCTTTACTGAATTGGGGCCAGCAGAAGGCACAAATAGCAACTGCTGTTTCTGGGTATCCAGTAGCTGCTGGGGATCCGGTATGATATCCTGCAGGTGGAAACATGCCCTCTTATTAAATTAATCATGAGCATATCTTGTTAATTAAGAGGGCTAATACAATATCTGCTATTTTCTCTCATCGCTTTCCCCATCTCGCAAGCACTTTCATCTATTGCCTTCAGAAACTCAAAACCCAATAAGACCAGTGCAGTCTCAGTACCATAAGAGGTCTAAAACCCAACTGATGGAAGTCAGAAAGACTTGAAAATTCTAGATTTACTGGAGTTGTTTCACCACCACTGGAGATCCAGAATGGAGCAATATTTGGAGAGATTGTCCATGCCAAGCGATGGCTTATTACTTTAAGAAAAGATAGTGCTTCATGGAAGCACTGGAAATCAGCCCCAACAATTGTGCCAACACCTCTGCATTGGCTTTAACCAAACAGGAAGAACAAACTGTAACTCAAAGATAACAGTCTGTATGTGCCCAAAAAATTTCAGAGCCCTAGCAAGCATTATAGGCTGAAATGCAACCACAGAAGATTTTGCCTGTTTTGCTAGAGAACCAGTTCTGTTGAGAGGCATAGCATGGAATCTAGCCCACATGCTGATGTTTCTCTTAACCACTTGGATTATGCCTACACTGGCAATTGAACAACAAAACTTTTGTCTTTCAGAGGTGTTAAACCGCCCCCTTCGCCCCCCGAAAGACAAAAGTTTTGCCGCAACAAGTGACAGTGTGAACAGCGCATTGTTGGCAGGAGTGCTCTCCTGCCGACAAAGCTAACCCCGCTCCTCAGGGGTGGACATTTTTGTCGGCAGGAGAGCCGACAAACAGCGGCTACATTGCATGACTTTTAGCAGCACGGCTGTGGCCACACAGCCGTGTTGCTAAAAGCTGAGTAGTGTAGACAAAACCTAAGACAGTGGTCTGTTAGAAAGATAATATTCTTCTTCAGAGCCTTCTGAAACTCATCCGTTCCATTAGCCACTGTGGATTGGTTTTCAATGCAGGTCCTTCTTCCCAACAAAAGAGAGACACCCCAGCCTCAAAAATGGAGGGGGTAGTAATGGTCAGGCAATAGCAAGGGAATAATTTCTGCCTTATAAACTAAATGCTACCATTAACAAGAGGTAAGTACCCATTCAGTCAGAGGCAGCCACTGAATCTGCATAGATAGCCAGGGAGGCCCATGAAGCATCTATGAGTTAGGGGCCTTTCTCTCAGATAAGGTCTATACGAATACATTGACTTAATTTATCTTAGAAAAGTTGAATGTCAGGACCGTCCTTAGGCATATGCAGCTGCGTAGGGCACCATGAAATTTGGGGCACCAAATTGCCCCAAATTTCATGGTACCCTAGGCAGCTGTGTGCTGCATACGTGGCAGCACCAGCCCCATCCCTCGGCCGGCCCCCCTGCGGGCTGCACGCACTGCAAGGCGCAGGGCCGTGCCTAGGGGAGTGTGGGGCCCTGGACAACTCCCTCCGCCCTGCCTCTTACCCTTCCCCCTGCTCCGCCCCCGGCCCACCCCCATTCTACCTCTTCCCCCCGCGACCCTGCACTCACCGGCAGCGGCAGGAAGCGGAGCAACCCAGCGCCAGCCCGCTCTACTCCGCCAGCTCCCAGCTGCGGCACTCCGCTTCCCGCTGCCGGTGAGGTTGGGGAAAGGACACCCCCCACACTCACCTATGGTGGGAAGCAGAGCAACTTGGCCCAAGCCCGCTCCGCATCCCTTCTCTTCCCTTGCCTCGGCCACAGCCGTGTCGCTGTGGGGGAAGAGGCGGTTGGGGAAAGGTGTGTCCCCCCCCTGCACTCACCGGCGGCGGGAAGCGGAGCACCGCAGCTGGGAGCTGGCAGATTGGAGCAGGCTGGGGCCGAGCTGCTCCGCTTCCGCCGCTGCCGGTGAGTGCAGGGGAGGGGATCCCTTCCCCCAAGCCTCCTCCCCCGAAGCAACATGTCTGGGGCCGGAGCGAGGGAAGCAGAACGGGCTGCTCCGAGCCCGCCACTAATCCCCCGGGCCACTCTGGGCCCCCAAAAGTTCCCCCACCCACAGTTCCTGCCTCTCAGACCCTGGGGGGGGGGGGTGAGGTCTGGGGCCCCACACAGCTCCCCCACGGGGGGGCTGCTTAGGGCACCTAAATGGCTAGGGACGGCCCTGTTTAATGTGTAGACCCACATAAATCAAAATGTTTTCTCTTAAGAATTATAGTCCAGTAAAGTAAAAGGACTTGTTGTCTAAACGATCTGAAGCTTCTGGTAATGTTACTGTTTATTTAATAGTGACTGATTGCCTTAAACATAAGTTATAAGGATGCCTTTTAGATATATCTACAAAATCTCCACTTTTAAAAACCTAGGTTTATAGCATCTGGCAGTTCAATTCAGACCTCAGTGTTCTCTCAAAACAAAACACACAGAAATGCACAGATTATATGCAGCCATAAAGACATTATTGAACTTAGTTAATAGATTATGTATTTTCCTTTCGTGATTTAAAAAGTAGTATTTGTCGCTCATGATCTAATACCATGGAAAAAATAATCTATTATTTTGCTAGAAGAGAGCTGGCAAAGGAACACGGACTCCTTCAAAAATATTATATCATTTTATATCTCTCCGATGCTCCACACTAAAATGAAAAACTGTGTCTCTGGAATTTTCTGTGACCATTTCCTCTCTCCCTGAATAGCAAATGCAAACGAATACAAATCATCCTAATGCAGACTCTGACAGAGTCTGCACTTGCTTACAGGTTGTAAGCTGGCTGGGATCTTAATAAATAATAATAATAATAATAATAATAATAATAATAATAATAATAATAATAAATTCCTAGCTGTGGATATAGAATTTATGTACATTATTAAGTGTGCCCAAAAATGTTCTACATTCCAATCCATTTTCTAGGATTTATTTTCCAGGATTTATGTTGTGGCTCTGACCCTTGGCAATCAACATTTAAGTGAAAGAGCTTTTTTTTTTTTTTGCACATCCAAAAAAGTTCCACTTGATAGCTCCTCTTGAGGCCATGCGCATGTTATGTTGATTCTTTCTTGTATACAAGCTAGGCAGGGTCTCGCTGGGTCAATACTTGGATGTGGAACATCTAGGGAACAGTAGGTTCTAGTCTTGGTGGAATCTTCCCTGTGAGTTGGTATTGATCCAGCGACCCCATGTAGCTTTTGGGCAGGGTGGATAAAAATCGATGATTTTTTGGGGAAAAAAAGATTTTTTTCTAATTTAAATCAGATTTTTGTTATTTAAATTATAGTAAGTTTTTTTTTTTAAATAAACCTATTTAAAATGAAATCTGATTTTAATACAAACTATGGGAGGCCTAAATTCACTATAATCTCTCAAAAATTTAAATAAAAAATAAATATGCTGAGTCCATGAGCCTCTATCGAAACCTTTACATTACAGGCTGCTTTTCTATATAAAGAAAGAATCAGGGGAAAGGAATCTAACTTTTCAGGTCAAGTTTTATAAATAATTAAGGGCCTGAGTGTGTGGGAGACCCAGGGACTGTGCGCAAGAGACTGGCGCAAGAGACTGGCAGTCATCACAGGATTTGGGATCTAGCTTCTTACTCCAGGAGACGCCATCATGTATCTCATCAAGATCATACACTAAACCAGCCTAGATGGTCACATACTCCTATTTTATAGCCTCTCCCTATCTGAGCTCTGATTGGCTCATTTCTTAATGCAAAGAGTCACACCACTGAACTGGTGGAAGTCACTAGCTAAGCACCTGGAACCAGAGTTTGCTAAAGTGCTAAACCAGCTATTGACAGCAGTAGTCTCGTCTGCAGGCACAGAAGGAATATTTTTTTCATTTGGTCTAATTCATGGGAAATCAATTGGGAGTTGAAAAAGCAGGAAACGTATCTTTCTCTTCCAGTCCAGGAATAAAAACGAGGAGGAAGGAGATGAGGTCTTTTCCACAGTGTAACTGCCTGAACAGGAATTTGGCCTGAATTGGCACCCCTGCAGAATGTACCAAGGGTTCTTTCATGACTACAATGTGGAAAAGAACTCTCTGCCTCCCACTTCCCATTCTTGTTCTGACAGCACCTATTGGGAACATGTCCCCTGCAGAATTT